GCAGAAAGTGTTGGGTGGGGTTCTTGGATTTGAATGCACTCAGTTGACAAGGAAGGATAAGTATATGTTGCTTGGTGGAAATGATGGCAAAGTGGAGTCTATGTACTCCAAGAAAGCCTGAATTACTATTTCATTGGGGAAAAAAAGGCTTAATTGCTTTGAGAGGGGATTCTGTTAGTAAAATTTGTGAACTCTTGTTGTTGAGAAGAGGCTATGTTTGTTACATGATTAGTTACTTTGTATTCGTATTCAATAGACAATATTAATTGGAATCAAATTTGTGCCTAAGACTAACATTCTCTTTACTGTTTATTAGTTTGGGCCTAAAAGATGAAGCACTTTTAGTGGATCCTTTGTGAAATTCCAGGATTGTTAAGGTCTAGCTCGAATTTGTGTGCCAATGGTATGAATTTGGCCTTTGACAATCTGGCTTATGAAAATGGATGTCCCACATGCAATTGGATCACAAATTAGAACAAGGAGTTCATGGACAAGAAAATGAAGTTCTCACTCTTGGATAAATTAGAAGTGAATCAACCACAAGTTATATACATAAACATGATTCTTAACTTGGTGTCATTTGGCAATTATATCTTTGACTTTAGATGTGCGTAAATAGACACTTAAACTTGTACAAAATTGAATAAATTAACACATTCATCCTGCATGACAACTTATATAGCAATTTTACGTTCTACGTGTATTATATTATTTAGGACATGTGTGTCTACTTGTTCAATTTTATACAAATTCAAGTGTCTACTTGTGTACACTCAAAGTTGGAAGGCAAAGTTGTCCGCTGAAGTCAAGTAAAGAGTTATTTTTTTTATATATTTTACCTAATTAAAATGATGAGAATGAGTCCATGCCGAGTTGATTATTAGTCGGATCGAACGAGAATCATGAACTCCTTATAAATTTTGGACTTCAATTCTTCTCTTTGAATTAGTTTTAAGGTGCGAGTTCAATACCTAATTTAATATGATATCAGAGTTATGTCCATTGAATATGTTATGGGACGTAAAAATCATATTGTATTATGAGAATACTCGGTGTCCATGAAACTCCGGATAAAGTCCTGACAAAAAGAAACAGTTGATATTGAGTTAAAGAATTCACAAAACAAGGGCTAAAACTATATTTTGAGAGTGAATGAGTTGTTTTATATTTCTTTTCAATTATAGCCTATTATCAAGGGCGGGGGCCTAAAGCGAAATTTTAATTCGCAAATTAAAATATAAATATACTTCATATACGTATTTATTAAAAAATTTACACTATTAAGATGAAAATTATTAGTATTTAATGTTACTTTTTCAGTTACTAGTTTTAGGCAAGATTTTATCAACTCAACATTGAAAAACAATTTTAAGTGAGAAAATTATTATAGGTGTTGTTAACATAATGATACAAGCAATCATCATATCATACATTACTAAAAGTGGAAGCTCCAAACATGAAAAATTAAATTACTATTTTACCCCTAGACGAAATTCAAACTTTTATAATTTTCATATCGAAAAAGGACCTAAAATACCATTCAACTATACGAATTGGAATAAAATTATCCTTCTTATACCTTTCGGGCTTAAAATGCCCTTGACATCAATCTTTAGGCTCTATTTTATCCATTATTTTGAACAACTTAAATAATAACATCATATCAAATTCATTTATGATGTGTCGCTTTCCTATTGGCTACCCTAATAACTAATTAAAAACAAAATAAACCCACCCAAAAGACCCACCCATAACCCAAGTCTTTTAACCCAATATTACCCAAACCTTTTAACACAATATCCAAACCCCAAAACTTTTAACCTTAAATGAATTTAACTAAAGATACATATTCCTCTTTTATTAAGTTCTTTACACATTTTACAAGTACATTAACAAATTTAATTTGCTCTCATCTATAATACTAGCTAGCTTCCCACCCAAAGCCGAAGGTGAACTTAATTTAGTAGTCGAATTTTATTATAATAAATTTAATTAGAGTAATGCTTGAAATAAAATTTTAAAAAGAAATAAAAAAAAAATTTAATTCACTTTGTAACACTTTTCACTGTTAATTTTCATTTTTAACAAAGTACAAAAGATGTTAAAAGTGGATAAAATAATTTATTTTTAAAAAAACTATACTTTTCATCATTAATAATTGATTTTACTATAAAAAATTTAACACGTAATTTATTTTTGATAAAAATTTGAGGCCCCTAAAATTTGAGGACTTAAGGCAAAGGCCTTATTTTTTAATACATAGAGCCAGCCCTGCCTATCAAGTTATATCATATTAATGATATGAAATTAAAAGATTTAAAAGATCATTGTCAATGCTATTTGGGTGTTTAAAAAACAAACCTGACCATAGGTAATCCGTTATATCCGTCTAAAATTTTAAGGGTTGAGCTCAAGATAATTTAAATTGGGTTCAATCCCAATCATTTAAATTTTTAATCCATTTGAAAAGAATTATCAATTGAGCCCAATTCAATCTCTAATTTCAACCCATTTTTTAAAAAAATTATTAAGATATGTTCGTATATTTAAGGTATGAATCAATATCTATTTAACATCTTTTAGGATTTACCTATCCATTTATTACTTTTGAAAATAAATTCTTGAGCTGAAATTCAAATTGTGATTATAAAAGTTAAATATTAGTATATTAAAGTATGAGATAATTGTAGGGAATGACAAACTAATGAAGGTAATTATATGCAGTAACTTCCCTTTCAGTTATTCCTTTTAAAGGGCAAAACATCGCTCAATTTTGCTATAGTAGGACCCATTGAATTGTATAAAAATTTCCCCCCAAAACAAAACCCTCTTTTTTCTCTTTACCCTCCATATTATACAATCTCTTCTTCTTTTCTTCAACTTCTCCTTAATTAACTCCACAAATTCAATTTTAAATTTTCAACTTCTCTAGCACGTCTTTGCGGTTTACTAAAGTATTTCAAAAATATCAGGTGCCGCCATAAAACTCATTTCATTTTATCATTTTTTGTTAATTTTTTTTCTATTTCTTCAAACTAATTTTTCACTTCACTTCATAATCCCTTCAGATTTTTGGTTCAAACAATGGATGTTCAATCTCCATCTAAGAGATTCACAAGAGGTATACCGTTGCATGTTGAAAATAATCTTAAACTTCCATCGTTTTTCTTGGATCTAATTCAGGATTTTTGGGAGATTTCAGGTTTAATGTCTAAATCGAACACCATGCAAAAGATCAGATCCAAATTGAGGAATGACCCAACTAGATTTGTGGATGAAGGTGTGAAAGATCATGCCGATGTTGTTGCTGGGTCAAGTAAGAAAATGAAAGTTGAAACTGACGTTTATGTAATACACAATGATAAAAATGAAGTTGTTGGTTATGGGTCATTCGAGCATCATAAGGTATTTGTATAATCATTGTCTAGATGCTTCAATTTTATATTATATTCATATTTTTGTGTTGAATCGTGTATTATACTGCCTGTTTATACAAAAGTGATTGTATAAATGTATAAATGTATAATCTATCTTAGTATCGTTTTTATGTTTGTGTTGATTCATGTTTATACAATTTTGATTTTATAAATGTATAATCTATCTTAGTATCTATTTTTGTGTTTGTGTTGATTCATGTTTATACAATTTTGATTTTATAAATGTATAATCTATCTTAGTATCTATTTTTGTGTTTGTGTTGATTCATCTCTTATATTGCCTGCTTATACAATCGTGGTTGTATAAATGTATAATCTATCTTAGGTATATGTATACAACTAAATAGGTATATGTATAGAACTGACAAATTCGTATAAACATACAATAGTTTCATACACTTATACAACAGTTTCAGCCTTTATATACACAAATTAAAGCTTTATACAAATATAAAATTCACGAAAAAACACTGTATAGGTATATGTATATAATTGACAAATTTGTATAAACATACAACAATTCCAAACACTAAATAGGTATATCTATATAATTGACAGATTCGTATAAACATTCAACAGTTTCATATACTTATACAATTCGTATAAACTAATAGTTTCAATAGCTTGATCGATTTTTTGAACTGATTACAATGGGATTCTTTCAGTTGAAGGATACGAAGAAGGAATGAAATTATACTGAAACAGAATCCGCGTGATTGCTGGGATTTTTTTCCTTTTTCATCCAACTGAAAGTACTACCCTTTTTAATTTGAACAATGAAAATTTTTAAATTATACAAAAAAAAAACATCCGTAGCAAATTACAATTTTTCTATGAAGTGCAATTTTAAAAACTTTGTCGGCGCACAAAATTATTAATTTTTTATTTGTTATACATAAAATTTGCCCTTAAAATATTGAGATTAATCGGTTCAAATTGAATGGGTCAAGACCCAATCCATTTTTAGCCCATTTGAGCCAAATCCATCTGAGTCCAAAGTAAACTTGGGTGGGTGAAGACCCAAGCCACTTCTATTTCAATTCAACCCGTCCATTTGACACCCCTAATTGTACCGATTGATTTGATTATCAAATTATAAACTCAACTTATCCTCACTTTATACAAACAATTTTTTTTAAAAAAATTAAATATATTTTCAAACATAACTTTAATTTTTTAAATATTTTCTTTTTTTTTTATGTTGAAACAACTTTGATTTTGTGTAAAAGAAGAGTGGATAAAAAATGACCTACGCTGTACCTATCTCACATCAATTTATTCCTTTTAATGAGATTCAACTATAAAGGGCTTTTCAGTAAAAAGCCCATAGCACGCAGCTTTCATTTTGAATACCCTAAAATACCCTTCTTAACATCTCCCCTTGTTTTCATCGACTTCTCAACATACAAGGGGTATTCCCGAGATTCTAACTACTTCGCAGTGGATGAAACGCCACGTGTCATATTCTGAGCCCTCTGTTTGCTTTGGGTTGTATCGACAGCCCACTGAGATTTTTACTTTTCCCGCTTTTTAACAGGAAAAGAAAATAAAAATAAAAACAGAAAAAATATAAGTAGCAATTTTATTGTGAAATTTGGATGAAGAACGTCACTCCTCTTGTTATCTTCTTTCTCTGCACAGTTTTTAGAGAGAGAATTTTGGATTTTTTTGCTTGAATCTGACGGAGAACGAATTCGTTCGTGTGAAGCTGAGATACTGGTAGCTGCCGGAAAACGTAGTCGCCGGAGACAATGGCTATCGGCGCCGTTGTTTCTAACCGGAATTTCGGTGGTTTCATCGGTTCAGGTAAATAATTTGTCGGCTTTGAACTTTGGATGCTTACTTTAAGTGTTTCTGCTTAGATGTTTAACAGTTAGCTGATTAGTTTAGTTTACGGAAGTTGTGAATTTCTTATACGGCAAATGTTCGTTTTGAGAATTAGTGGAGAAGTACTGGATGGCGGATGCATGTGGCTGATTGATTGCATGTTTGTTGAATTTGTGAATGTAGTTTTTTGTGATTAGGAATATTTAATTTTGGTGGAAATTTGAGTTCGAGTCACTTAAGGAAGTAAAAAGAAAGAAAAAAGGTACTCGAGATTCATGATTTTGTGCTGGCTTCTTGGATTTCTGTATGAGCTTTTTGTGCTGGAGTACTTGTTTGCCTCAATGCTTGGTTTAACCTGTAGGTATCTAAAGGAATCTTTTGCTGGCAATTGGATAATTGTAGATTTTGTGTGGCAGAGATTTTACTATTGGTCATTTAGGTGTATAATTTAGATCAAGAATACATTGGATGTGAAAGAGGTAATAGAAATGGAATTCATATAAGCGACTATATCAAGCTGATTCTATAAAATTGTTTTAACTAAGATAAAACTTAGTAGGTGTTCGGATATGAATTTAAATCATTTATTTGGCAGAGGTTGCTGTGAAGTTCAAATTGCATGGCCAAACAGCCCCTTAAATTGGTTACGGCTCGACGACGTGTAACAATGACAGTTTGTTTCTTTCACTCATTAAGAATCATTGTAGAATCATTTTGGTACTTTTTGATGAGACTAAACAGGAAAGACCTATTCTATCAAGATAACATTCACAGTCTAACCTCTCTGATCTCTTAGCTTATAAGAATCTCTTGCACACTTTCTAAAGGACCATCCTTTAGCATAAATTTGTTAAAGTACTGGATTATTTGATAAATAGTTCGTATACATTACAAAACTAAGGGAATGTTGACTCTAAATTGGGATCAATAAATGAACATATGCAAATTAACTCATGATTTGACTCAATTATATGGATATGTGGATACTATGAATTTAGGGAATCTTGTGATTCCTGTTGATCATGGAAAATGCTGCAATAAGTTGACCTCGGGATAAAGCGAGTAGTTTTTGAAAAGTAAAGGGCAGAGTCTTCTAACTTTTTCTTTTTTCACTTCGCTTGTAGTTTCTGGGGATTACTCTGAATGCTGAAGTGAAGTGAAATGTTAAGATCAGAATGTTAGGCAGCACTTGTGGCTGCAAAAACTAAATTTTACACTTCACTGAAGCCTTTTCCTGATTTTGTCATCTACTTGATCTATTCAGTTCTTACTTCTTAGTATCTTGCATCTTTGTGGTGCCTTCATTAATAAATCAATGAATTATGTCAACAGGCAGAGAGCAGTATACAGTACATCACCATGGAGAGCAATTGGGGTTTGCTGCTTTGAAGTATGTTCAGAGGAATATGTTATACAATGAGCGGTGTCGCTCAAGGATTGGCTTATCGCACTCGGGTTGCATATATAGCTCACATCCCCAATCTGTTGGACCTTTGGATGGTAAATCTTTTGGATCGGTATCACCATTTTATGTTGAAGTCGTTCTACCTAACCGGTTTAGTGGAAAGTCTCATGTCATCAATCCTAAGCGAAGAACCAAAAGATGGGAATGCTATCTTTCCTCTACCGGCTCAGGTAACAGTTGGATTCAACCAAGGAAACTGGATAAGTTTGGTTTCATTGATGGACAAAAGCAGCAGACAAAGCATGCTGCAGTGAATAGAGCCCAAGCCGACTTCAAATCTGATGGATATGACATAACTGGAGCATTGGGGTCTCTTATGTCATCGGAAGGGGCAAGTGAAGCCATTTTGGTGGAAGGGGTTGAGCAAGCAAAACCATGGTGGGAGCAATTTCCAAGAAGATGGATTGTTGTACTGCTGTGTTTTGCTGCATTTTTGTTATGCAACATGGATCGTGTAAGTAATTCATCCAACTTTTACTTCGATCCTTTGCTTTCCATTCTGATCGTATGGCCCCTCCTAAGATTGGATATTATAATGCCTATTTGGGATGTTTGAATATAGTGTACTTACCTTTTTCAAATAAAAATAAATTAAGACATCTAAGCATAACCGGTTCAGTAGCTTAAACACATGCAAAAATTCATGGCCATTATATTAACTATTGCACATCCTATATTTTCAATGATCACCATCAAAATTTGTTCGTTAAACATGATTATGAGGCTCTAGATACCCTGCCTTCAAGCTTTTTATTATAGATTAAGTCGCTAAAACTCTTAAAGTTCTTAAAATTAGCTGAATAAAAATGAGTTTCCTCCTTCCGTACTTTTTCTATTTATCTCTTTGATGTTATTTGATACAAGACCATGTGTGATCATTTAATACTGTCCTAATTCGTGTTTCACTTTTTGCTTTTAGGTAAACATGAGCATTGCAATTCTTCCAATGTCAAAGGAATTTAACTGGAACAATGCTACGGTTGGTCTCATCCAGTCATCCTTCTTCTGGGGCTATCTTCTCACTCAGGTTTTCTTCATTTTAACATTGTCTTGGTCTCTTCTAGTCCATGAACTCTTTCCAGTTTCAGTACTAGTATTTGATCAATCTATTGCATGATGGATGTGGTTTTCATGTACTCTGCCCATATCTCAACCTAAGGTTTTATCTATCATTAAGTTCTAAGCTAACCTTAGAACTCTACTTTATGCAGCGATTGAATAGGGACAAACACGTAGGAGAATGAATTTAATTTTTGGTATGCTATTCTCATGTGCTCGATAAACCATTATCTTACTTTCATTTGACATGTTCTTTATGCAGATTGTTGGAGGAATATGGGCAGATAAACTTGGTGGGAAGGTAGTGCTTGGCTTCGGAGTTGTCTGGTGGTCGATTGCAACTGTTTTGACTCCTTTTGCTGCCAGACTTGGACTGCCGTTCTTACTTGTTGTGCGTGCCTTAATGGGTATTGGGGAGGTTAGTCTCTATATGCTTTTTCCCTGTTTCTTCCAAAATCTCGACACAGCTGATTTTCCAAACATTGTAAGTTGTCTTCATTTTGTGTGTAGCCTGAAGCTATTCTTGTTATGGACATTGAAAGACAAACCAATTGTTTCATGCTTAGCTATACTAAACATAGTAGATTTGAGTAGGTACATCTCATAAACTCATGGATCAATTGTGGGGCCTAACCGCAAATTCTGATTCTTTTGTACCAGTACTGTAGTTGGTGAGGAGTTGAATCAGTCATCACATGCATAGTTTTTGTTCTGACTGTGTAAGTTCTTGTCAGGGTGTCGCAATGCCTGCCATGAATAATATGCTCTCAAAATGGATTCCTGTCTCAGAAAGAAGCAGATCTCTTGCTCTAGTGTATAGTGGAATGTATCTTGGTTCTGTTACAGGATTAGCTTTCTCTCCTATTTTGATCCAAAAATTCGGATGGCCATCTGTATTTTATTCCTTTGGTTCCCTTGGAAGCATCTGGTTTGCACTCTGGTTGACCAAGGTTAGTTTGTCTGCTTTTTCTGCATTTCGACTTCTGTTATTTTTTTAGTCTTCCAAATTTTTCATGACTTCTCTTTATTTCCCCACTTTCACTGCTTTCATCAAATCGGCTTAAGATAAAATGAACCTTTGTGCTGCTAGTTATGAAGTCCTAAAGATGCAACAGAGTTATTATTTTTAGCTTCTAAGATCATTGCTTAGACCTAAAACTTAGGTGCATAAGTTTCATGTCAATGGCTCAAAAATGTCTGGTAGTTGTTATTTTCTTTCCATGATTTTTCATGGTTGAAACATCACCTCGTGATATAGTTTTAGCTACAGTAATTGTTGGTTCTAGTGAAAAGGGTGACCTCTTGGAGTCCAGTTTTGTCTGGTTTAGTTTTTCTATGCCATCATATCTGAGTCCTACCAGTCTAACTCATTTTGTTATACATTGACTATTTTGCTTTCCAGGCATATAGCACTCCGAAAGATGATCCAGGGCTTAGTGAGCAGGAAAAGAGGCTGATCTTGGATGGAAGTGTCTCTAAGGAACCTGTCACTAACATCCCATGGAAACTAATTTTATCAAAGGCACCTGTCTGGGCCCTCATTATCTCACATTTCTGTCATAATTGGGGAACATTTATTCTACTGACATGGATGCCTACATACTATAGTCAGGTATCTGATACATCCTTCTTGGAATAATTTCTTCTCTTGGCATATTCATCACCATGGAAAATGGAGTATGAATAATAAACAGAACTTTAAACTTTGTCTTGGTCCAAGTGGGGATTTTAGTAGATTCATGCATTGTTTCCTGGAGGCTAATCCGTTCTGCTCTACTTTCTTTATTCGAGTCCATTTTCTGGCATTGTAATATCAATATTTGACATAGCATCATGAAATATAGGGCTTGCTTTCATTCATGAACCTGTTAGATCTTCAGAATCTTCGAGACTCTAGAATTTGTTATTATGATGCTGAATCTGAAGTAAAAGATTGCAGTTACTCATTCTACAACTTGAATTTGGATATTGGTTTGTTTTTGCATACCTTTAGAAGTGCTTACATTACTAGCTCTAATGGCTCTTGTCATTTTTCTGTGTTCTGTGGGTTCAGGTTAAATTACCTGAAATGACTCAATGCTCATCGATTATTAAGAAGATGCTACCATATTTAGAATAAATCTCACTGTACAAGCTATTTAAGGTCTTACTTTCCAATCCTCTTATTTCTTCAGGTTTTGAAGTTCAACCTCACTGAATCTGGACTATTCTGTGTATTGCCATGGCTGACCATGGCCGTATTTGCAAATTTAGGTGGTTGGATTGCCGATACACTTGTGAGCAAAGGATTCTCCATAACATCAGTTCGTAAGGCAAGCACTGATAGAACTTCCGTATACAGTGTATAGCATTTTAGTTTAACCATCTAATGATGAGGGATTATTTGTATTTATTTTGTTCTAATGAATAACAACTCCTAAATAAATTTGCAGATTATGCAATCGATTGGTTTTCTGGGCCCTGCTTTTTTCCTTACGCAATTAAGCCATGTGAAGACTCCTGCGTTTGCAGTGCTGTGCATGGCGTGCAGTCAGGTTGGTACCATGGATAATGGAATGACATACTTTTGGGAGATTCTTGCAAGTGTGTTGATTTAAATAATAATTTGATCTATTTGCAGGGATCGGATGCCTTCTCTCAATCTGGCCTCTACTCTAATCACCAAGACATTGGACCACGTTATGCTGTAAGTACTTCTACTTGTTATACATGGCATAATGAAAAAGAAAAGCTCTTGACTTTCTCATACAAACAAGCCATTTCATAGCTTGTTTTCTTAATTTAGATGTTTGAAACTTTTGTATACTTTCCTCTCCCGCAGGGAGTGTTGTTGGGATTATCTAATACTGCTGGTGTGCTAGCTGGCGTCTTTGGTACAGCTGCAACCGGATACATACTACAGAAAGGTATTTATGTTGTATATTTTCTTATCAGCTTGGTGGTTCTGGATTAGAATGTCGGGTTTGAGTTAATTTATTCAATCGTATTCCTCTATTCTCCTTGTGCAGGTTCTTGGGATGATGTATTTAAGGTTGCTGTTGTATTATACATCATAGGCACGTTAGTCTGGAATTTCTTCTCAACCGGAGAGAGGATCCTCGAGTAGATAATCTTTGTTGCCCAGTGAAAGTGCAAACGATCATAAAATATAGTCAAGAGAACAAGAGTTGCCTATGGGAAGTTTCTCCTTAAAGGTGCTCTCTACTAGCATAAAAACTTTGAACCATGCTTCGTTAGTAGCTATCTGGGTAATTTGACCATGTAAATGTTGTTATGTTTACTGGCATGAATTTTCCGTAGAAGCCTGGAGACATTTCTTTAGCCAGAGTAATTTCCATCAACCTCTATACTGTTAGCTAGACCTGCATCGCGTTATTATGGTGTCATCGTCCATGTTTAATACGTCTCAGGATGCTGATTGTGAACACTCAAAATTTTAAAAAACTTGAGATAGGATAGTACACAAATTTATGGTAGTTCCAGGAAAGAAATAGAGTTGAATTTATGTTACTTGCACTCAAATGCACGCAAGAGAGGATTTTGCAAGTCCGTCAAAAGAAATAGAGTTGAATGTATTAGGAAAATCACTAAGAGATACTTCATTGTGATATACTCCATGATCCATCCATCCCATTTTAAATATAGCTTTATCTCAAAAAAAAATGATAATTTTGTTTCTATTTATATCCTATTACCCAGGGGTTGGATAAAAACCGATCCAAATTGAAAAATCAAACCAAAATTGATTTAATTTAGATTTTGAATTGGTTTGTTTTTAGATTGTCAAGAACCAATAGTATTTGGTTTGGTTATGGTTCTGTTCGAAAAAAACCTAAGAAATAGCCGAACCGAACCAACAAGTTATATACATAAATTTTATTACTATACATACATAATATTTATATTCATAAACAATTTTAAAGATTTTATATATATTTCATCAAAATTTATTTATAATTTACTTAAATGAGAAAAATGTCCAAGGTGAGAAGTGAGAACATTTTTCATATTGATTTCATGTATTGAGTGTCTATCGAAATTCTTTGTGGGACTGAAAATGTCATTGTCGCTTCCTTCTAGTGCTAAATAGTGAATTTTGAAGTTTTATTCGGTAAATTCAATGATCGAAAGTTTTGTAATGACATTCATTCCAACTATTTTTTCGTTTGAATGAATTGTTTCTTTTATTTTTATGCATGGTTAATAACCGAATAATCAAATCAATTCAAGCTAAAATAAAAAATAACCAAACCGATAAATGTACAGTACATTTGATTTGGTTTTGATAATTTTAAATCCGATTAAATTAATTTGATATTAATTTTGACCAATAACCAACCCAAACTAACCGGTGAATATCCCTACTGTTGACACCCAATTTTGACCATCTCTGATAGACATTAATTCATGAGCTTCTTAAATTTTCCAAGCAATTTAAAATAATTAGTTTTATAAATTTTTAAGAAAAAAAAATAAAGTTTGTGTTATTTTGAATAGTTTTGTCATTTCTTATAACTTTTGAATAATATATATATTTTACATAATTATGTATATAATTAGTATATTTTATGATTATTCAAAAAACCATCTCAAAAATATTTTAATTTTAGTAAGTATTCTATTTAGCTAATATAGTTTAAATTATGGTTATATTTTGAACCACTATTTTACAATTTAAATAATTATATTACTAAATTAAAGAAGCTCGTTGATTAATTAATACAAATTCGTTTTATTTAAGGTTTAGCCGAATTTGTCATCTTAACTCAATTTGGCTATTTATCAAATTTAACCCATTCTTTAAATCCACCAAAAGATTTTAGTTTTGGGCCACTTACACACTCTCTTTAATTTCTAGGCCCATTTTTATTTCTTCTTCTCCCAGCCCACTTCAGCAACCCAACACTTTCCCAAACCCCAAGCCTAATAAATTTCCAGCCCACCTCATTCCCTTCCAGGCCCACTTTATTTTCAGACACCCAGGCCCAATTACATGGCCCATTTCGTTTTAATTAATTCCCAACCCAATTCCCTTTTTCCCTTTCCCTCCAGCCTTACCCCTTTTAAAATTCAAATTCTAAACAAATTTCCCCCTCTTTTTGCCATAATTTGGCTTATAAATAATCCCCATCTTCTTTGTTGTAGGGGGTTGGTTGAGAGAAAGAAGAAAAGAGAGAGAAAGAAGAAAAGAGGGAGAAAGAGAAAAGAAGAAAGAAGAGAGAAAAAAAGGGATGGTTTTTGGAGAGAATTTTTTTTTTACATCTTGTGATAGAAATATAAAGAATTATTGAAAGAGTTTATTCATAGGAAGATTTTACAATAGCTTAAGCACACCTATATATCTATTGAAGTTGAATTAAAAACAGAAGGATTGCGGGGTTTTTGATTATCATTTGAATTCGAAGTTGTGTAGTGGAAGGTCATCCCCTTGCTCGTTTCGTCTCCAGCTCGCTGCCCCGAAGAACGTGAAATCCTTTTTTTTTCTTTCTTCTTTTTAGATGTTGTCATTCCACCTTGCTAATGTTTTTTTGTTTTGTTTTCTTGTGTGACATCGATTAGAGTCCACTTTGGATTCCATTCTTGCATTTCTCGTTGAGCCATAAAGGCTCAAAACACTTTTTCCGAGTCAGCCAACCCCTGAAAGGATGTACAGGTCGAAAGCAAAACCAACGGAAGTTGCTGGAAGGGCGGTTTGCAGGAGCTTGGCTGTGATCTCTTTTTTTTTTTTTGTTTTAATGCTGTGTATCTGGTTTATACACAATATATACACTGTGATACAGGTCAAAAATCCACAGGAGACCCGAACAGAAAATCTGAGTTGACGACAGGAAATTGCACTACTGGAAAGGAGTTTTCAACTTTTGAAAGTTGAAAAACAGGCAGATATACAGCCTGTATACATAGATATACGGGACGATATACTATATATATGCTTAAAAAATATGATTGGCAGGGGAACATAGAGTAACGCCTATTCTAATTAAAATTCGGAATTAGGCAAACAATGTGGACGTAGGGTGCAGCCCGTATACATTAACATATATTATCGGGTGATGATATACACTTGTTAAGTAAGTTTGAAAAATGATACAGGTACAAATACGCAGGGCTCAAGAGGTCCAAATGGGTCAAATATGTGTTGTATACAGCATGTATACATTTGTGTATACCCTTTATGATTTTTTTTCAGGATTGGACCAGGGCCCTTCAGCCCTTTTTTATTAACAGGCCCAAAAGCCATTTGTTTCTGCAGGTCTCAAAGAAGGCCCAATATAGGAATTAGATAGGACAGGTGGGCTAAAGCCCAATGGAATGAATTTGGGCAATAAGGCCCAAGTTCAAAATTTTTTCTCCTCTTTATTTATTATTTGCTTGAATTAATTAATGTGTGGTATGATTTTTTAAGGGGAAACTTCATATATGGCAAACTTATTAGATTAAATAACATTATATGGGTTTAGTTTACCTAATTACATTATATGGGTATAGTTAAGTTATTAAAGGTGTCTTTAATTTTGTATATAATTTTTTTTTATTATTTATACAATTCTATTTTAAAAAGTTGTTTGTAACTGAATCCTTAAGTATGGTAACAATAAATCAAGATAATGCCACATATTTAGGGAAACGTCCCAATTTTCAAGCCAAGCGTTCAAATTCAAAAAAAAAATTCATACAGCCATTGAAACAAAATAATAATAATTTTTTTTTCTCTTTGTGAAACTGAAGTTCAACAATTTTGGCAATCGAATACAGGTTAGTTTTTATTCGATGAAATTTCATGTTTATTGGTTTTAGAATTTGTGAAGTGTTTTCGATTGTTTGTTTTTTTTATTAAAAAAAATTCAAAATATGATTTTGTTAAGCTGAATTTGTGTTCATTCGTTAGTGTTTTTATTTTTTTTAAAAAAATACAAAATATGATTTTGTTAAGATGAAAATTTGCAATATACAATTATATACTGTTCATGTCATTGTATATGTGATTCGCGGTATTTGTATATTTTTTGAAAGCGTCATTATTAATATCAGTGTTCATAATTGTATAAATTCATAAATCATGTGTTTTTTTTATATAATTATATATTATTGTAGATGTAGTTTTTGTATATTAAAAAGAATAATAATATAAAAATTCTATGTCATACAATTTATTTTTGGAAGAAGTATACACTATTGTAGATGTAGTGTTTGTATATTAAAAATTCTAACAATATAAAATTTCAATAATTTGATTGTATAAAAATTGTTGTATTAATTGTATATATGATCTCATTGACTTATTTGGAATATATATAAATATTTCTTTTCATAAATGTACAGATAATGGGCTCATTAGCTATTTTGGTTATGCATTCTGGAAAATGGGACGATACAAATTGTTACGTTAATTATACTATAGAGGGAGTAGTTTTTAAGGAAAATCAACGTTTCTTGATTTTTATACTACTATTGCAAAACAGATTGGTGTTGATATGAATAATAAGACTTTGAAGATTGAGTACAAAGTTGAAGAAAGCAATAAACGAATGGTTATACACAATGACATGGGTGTCAAGGTGTACGTAATGCTAAAAAAGGCGAACATTGATTTTAACAAATTTCCTATTTGTATAACTTTTTTGGATTCATGTGATAGACAGATTTCTCAGTGTAAAGAGATGGGGGTGTTGGCAACTGTTGCAGAAAATGATTGTCATGATATGATTGTTGTTGAATCGGAGGATATAAATGTTGCATGTTTATCGATTGATACAACTTGGGTGATTTCAGACGAATCTAATAAGCATGTTGAGGTTGATCAAGTATACAAGGACAAATCAATTTTGAAAGCAGTCATGGAAAGTTATGCGATTAAAGAGAGATTTCAGTATAAAACTACTCGGTCAAATTCAATAAGGTAGTGTGCCTCTCAAATATTGACTTTTAAACTGTATAAATGTTTTTATTGCCTATTGTAAACTAAATTTGTATACTATATTAAAAATTATATGCAGTTACACTCTGGAATGTTTTTCTAACGGATGTGAATGGTTAATGAAGGCCTCTAATATCAACAAATCTAGAATGTTCAGAATTCGAGCATTCAACCGAAAGCATACATGTCCTTTAAACGATAGAGTTTATTCGCAAAGACATATAACTAGCAATTTAATAGGAGGGATTATGAAACCTAAATTTGTAGATCATAAACGTAAATATACATCAGCTGATATAAGAAAGGATGTTAAGATTGATCTAGGAGTTGATGTTAACTATAAGAAGGCTTGGAGGGCCAGAGAGAAAGCATTAAAAGCTTTGAGGGGTACACCAGCTGCATCATATGCAAAGTTACCTGCGTATTTGTATATGATGGATATCACTTACCTGGGGTCTCATATACGTATGAAAAAGAGTACGAATAATGAGTTTTTGTATCTATTTGTTGCATTGAATACATTTATCCAAGGATTCAATCATTGTAGACCAGTAGTCGTGGTGGATGGTAGTCATCTGAGAGGTCCATATAATGGTACATTTGTTGCAGCAAGCATGACAGATGGCGCAGGTATATATATATATGTGTGTGTGTGTGTGTGTATGTAATAATGTATATGTATAAACGTGAATCTGTTGTATATGTACATTTAATATATGATTTTGATATTATTGTAGGACATATATTTCCACTTGCGTATGGTATTATCGATTCAGAAAATGATGCTGCGTGGACTTGGTTTTTTGAGCAACTTAAAGAAGCATACGGTGAGAGGAGTAACATGTGTGTTGTGTCTGATAGAAATGAGAGCATTATAAAGGTTGTTACAAATGTATACAGTAATGTCCCACACTATGCTTGTATCTCATGAGAAGTTATCTAGTGTATTCTATACAATGGCAGAAGCTTGCACAAAGAATGAGTTTGATATGTTAATGGAGACTGTAGAAAAAGAAGATATAAGAGTGAAAGAGTATTTGGATTTAGCTGGATATGAAAAATGGGCTCTTTGTTATGCACAAGTACATAGAGGATGACACATGACATCAAATATTGCTGAGAGTATAAATGCAGCACTTGTTTCAGCTAGAGAATTGCCTATTTTTGAATTTCTCGAAGAGGTAAGGCTATTATTTGGAAGGTGGAATCATTACTACAAGAAGGAGGCAACCTGCACATTCACATCATTGATTGGAAAATACCATGATATACTAACAGACAATAAAGAATTGAGCACAAGAATGACGGTAATATTTAATAATAAGTATATATTTAGGAGTGTTGACAAAATTTATTTGTATATATTAGTATGAACATCATTTCATTTAATTGTATTTATAAATGAGCAGGTTGTACCGTCAACGGAATATGTGCACAATGTTAATGATGATGGGAGATATTTTGTTGTCTGTCTAAAAGAAAAAACTTGCACCTGTGGAAGATTTTAGTACGAGGAAATACCTTGTGAACATGTTTGGGCGGTATTGAAATGGAAGAGTCTACCACTAGATGAATATTGCTCGGATTTATACAAACCAAAGACAATGTTGAAGACATATAATATGCCTATACATCCTTTACCGGATGTAAAGGCATTGTTGATTCCGAATAGCGTTATTGCTGATGACGTATTACCTCCAAAATTTAAAAGACCTCCTGGCAGGCCAAAGGGTAAGCCTCGAAAAAAAAACAGCAAGAGAGTTATCGAGGATTAAGGGGAAAAATACATGTAGCACATGTGGAATGGCAGGTCACAATAGGCGTTCATGTAGAAATAAGCCAAAAGATATTTAAGGCTGATTGTTTTTTCCTAATTAAATTTGATTTGAAACTATATGCATTATGACTTAATTGAAATCTTTGTTTTTGTATACTTATATTACTTAAACTACGTCTTAATTTTGTTATGTGTTGTACATTAATGTGTGTGTTGTATGACCTACAAAAGTAAATATCTACTCAATATGCGTAAATTAAATTTGTATATATACACGCAACATGATAAAATGTTCAACACTAAACAAGTAGATCGTATAAAAATAAAACTCTTTTATCCTATATACAAATAAAACCTGAACTACGTATTGAATATGCATATATAATTAATAAAAACAATGAGTAAGTGCTATTATATACTATATACAAATAAAAACCTGAACAACATATATCTTTTGCAATTTGTACATGTATATTTATTCCATAAGATAGAATTTGTATATATATAGCTATCTAATTGTATGTGCATATACATTTAATAACATACATTGAATACGTGATAGTATATACTATATACAAATAAAAAATTGAACAACATATATATATGTATTTATTTATGTGAATATAACAGTTAAGAATATACTATATACAAATAAAAACCTGAACACTAATATATAGTATATACCTTATACAATGAAATGAGTGTGACTATAAAATATATATAAATAAAAACCTGACAGTATATCTTTTGTTGTACAGATTCGTAAATGTAAGACTCTTAGTTTTAAAAGTAGTTTTTATACAATTAAATTGTATATGTATATATGTATTTATATGCTACTTTATACTAAATAACACAAAAGGATAGTGTCATATATTTTTATAACACTAAAATGATAGTTCAAAACAAAGAAAATGATATTACGAGTTAATTAAAACAAAAATTATCGTAAAATTGTTAATCTCCAACTAATATCTAAAACTGTCAACGCAAAAATCAAAACAATGCTACGACTAAGGTATCAACCTACTGGATTGTAATCCTTTCAGAACTGTTGTTTTGTGTGCGATTCCTGACGGGTTTTAAAGGCGCTTCAATATCACTGGCAGCTCCAACTTGTATCTTTTGATTGCCGTAATTCCACAACAATGCACCGTATCTAAGGCGAATTTCTTCTGGGTCTAAGACTGCTGAAATGTCTTTACTCTCACTCAAGAACTCCGCGTATGACGCAACATACACTCCACAGTCCCTAAAAAAATTATATAAAAAAACAGCTCAACTGTTACTATACTACTTAAAGTGTAACTATGTTCAATAAAATATAAATTTATTGAATTTTATAACTTACAAACTAGCAGCTGGTTGTTGGGGAAGGTCTTCCACATATACAATTTCGAATGAATCATATACGGTATGACCTTGATATCGATGGTGGCTTGCAATATCCAGACCTTTCTTTTGATAGAATTCAGACTTTACAAGATACATTGGTATAAGCTGTGCATACTTCTTGATGTGATTGACAACAAATGAGTGGTGAAGAGAATTGTTGATTGAGTCATACACCTTGATGCATCGATCATTGAAAGATATGACAATCAGAATCCAATGTAATCTGCCTTCTAAGTTAACCGGGATGAATACATCATCGACTGTGTGCCATGGTGCATACGCTAGCATCTTGTATCCATTAATATAATCAATAATCATCTCGTCTAACACTTCCTTAGAAAGGTCACCTTTTATTCCATAATATGCATTCCAAGCATTTAGAAAAACAGTGTTGAAATTGCAACATAGATTTGTGAATTTGTATGTGCTACTGTTGGAGTATTTGGCCTTTTTCCTTATATAGTAGAATAAGACATCTATGTGCTGTGATATAATGAGTAATAATGTTATAATTTATACATTATACAATTTCATTTAATTTAAACATTTTTAATAATATAAAAACAGAAACATACCGAGTTATCAATTAACTGGCGCTCAAACCCGATATTGTAGAACCAATTCTTGTTGTCAATTGTCGCTACACCAAAATTAAACAATTGTGGTAATATTGCCTTTCCTTTCTTGTAGCGATCCTCCGCATAGTTCCTATTAAACATAATACAAAATAACTACACAAAATAAACAATAAAAAATGCAAGTGTATAAAAAAAATGTTACTTTTTGTAATGCTTGACGAGTAAGTCTTCTTTCAGCCATATCCAAAAATTTGAAAACAAATCAGACTCTTCCTTATCAGACAATGAAACAAATGGATGTTTCATGTAAAACACAACTGGCTGTCGGGACGAACTACCTGAAAAGATATGTATATAAATATTTACATCATGAAAACAATATGCTTATTTATGAAAATGTAAACATAAATAATTGTTGCTTACCAGAATCCAAACCAAACGAAGTCATGTACGGAGATATGTTGAATGGACCTGGGCGTCTATGCCTAACAGCTGGCATGGGTGTTACTTCAGCTTCAACTTGTTTTTGTAATACAATGTTTTGCAGTGTGTTCACGCTTGGAAGAAGATGGTCTGGCAATTCAACCTGTGATTCAGTTACAACTGTTTCCTGATTTGAATCAAGCATGTATACCATTTGTATAGGCGCTGCAACTAAAATAGACTCCTCTGCTTCTGCAATTCGCTCGTGAGATGCAGCATTGTATATGTTATATATTACCCGACTGTTTGAGCTACTTTCAGTTTCCCTTTGGACATTTTGTTGGGCATCCATATTAGCATACAACACTAATTGATCTTGTGAGGCAGTGCCACTTACATCATTCAAATTATCACCCAAAACAACATGATCCAACAGTGGGGAATTCTGGTTTAGTTCTTGCAAGTTATCTCCCAGCTTAAAAAGAAAATAATAACTTAAATATCTAACAAATTGATTATAAACCATTATATTAAATTTTAAAATGTATATAATCATTTACGGATACCTCACGATCTTTTAATGCACTATGATGACCTATCGGTTTTTTTTGTGCACCTAACTGTGAAGACTTGGTATTTAACTGATGAACACGAGTGATATGCGTTTCTTGCATGACATCTTCAAATGTAGCCTGATTATAATTTAAACAATATAAGAAAATATGTTGTAGTATATTCAGTATAAAAATAAGTAATATGCTTGTGTATAATTTGAGCTATACTAGTATATAGGTCTTAATTATTTAATTTCAATATCTCTATAAACTGAATTTACTTATATACAATTTATTTCATTTCAAAATGTGTATAAACTGAATTAATGTATAAATAAAGCAAAATAATACCTCTTGTTCTGTCACATTTGCAGATTGACTTTGGGGTTCATGTGGAGTGTATGTGGGCTTGTGATGAACATCTCCGATGGGTGATTCTTGATCATCATCAACGACATTACCCTGGAAAAAAAATATACACTTGTATTCATAAGTATAAAGTATATTGTATATAAATAATTAAAACAAAAAATTTATACATGTGATACTTTGGAATTCATGGCTTCCAACACTATTTTGAATTTGTCTTCAAGCATTTTTCTCAAATCAGCGAACTCGTCCTTGACCTATGTGAAAAAGGTGCATATTTTATTAATAATTGTATATAATATTTTCAAATAACATATATTTGAATTGTATATTTGATTACCGATTTTTTGAATGCTTCAAATTCATCACGCGATATTGTAATGCTTGTTGACTTCTTAATTTGCCCCATTTGTGTTCTGTCTTGTACACTTTTCTGCTCTACATTTTCATTGTTGTGTGACGTACCTGCATCACTGTGTTTCGCAACACTGTTGATATTGATGGACTGTGATCGTGTGGCTTTGCGCGCCATTGATCTTCGTGTGTATGTCTTAACTGCCTTTGTTGAAGAGATGACTGTAACAGATTGCTTTTTCTTTTTCCTAATCGGTGAAGAACATCCAATAACTTTTTCTTTTCCTTTTATGCTTGTTATACTGGGCGGGTTTTGGAAATCATCATCCGGATCTGTAACTTTATTGTGATCAGTCTGCAGGCCCTGAGACATTGATTGTTCTGTCGATTGTGAAAGTTTGAGGATTTTAATTTCCATCGCTGTTGGCTCAATATTTCTGAACTTAATCTGCATAATAATTAAAAATTATAATTCAATATA